GAAAATACCGTATAAGCCTTCTATTTTTAGCCTTATGGCCTGCTTTCTAGGCCAGCTGGGCAGGAGTATTTGGTTTTCTCATACCGTATAAACCTACAATTAAAGTTAGTTGGCATGCTTACTCTTCGAGGCACATATAAAACGTTAAATACTGTTGTAGAGACATTAGGATTATTTTTACGATTCCAGAGAGATGAAAAATGAGCAATCGCCTTCGCTGGGAGTCGAACCACGGACCTCTGAAATACCGGCTCAGTTTGCTGACCACTACACCACGTAGGCACGCTAGGAAGGCAGGATAAATACCTTATACTATTTACATATTCTCCCATACTCTGAGTTGTGATAGTTTTCAGAAAATTATTCACATTATTTGACGAATCTTTGCAAGAGGAGATACAAATCCAGTTACAATATTATGCGATTTAAGGTCTGTAGTCATTATTCCTCGAATAGCCTGGCAATAAAATTAAGTAAGAAAAATTAAATAAAATATGATGCAATCTTTATCAGTGAATTCTGTTATAAAGCATTGTAAGATAAAGAAATGGTATAAAGTTAATTAAAAGTTTTGTGATATTGTTAAGAAAAGGGTAATAAATATCTATAAATCAAAAACAAATAACAAGTATTCTGTAAAATTATAAATGAAATAAGGGAAAATAAAAATGCAAATGTGTCAAAAAACCTAGAACTGAAAGCTTCTCAATAGAAAATATATTTTACAATTATTCAAGAAAAAGAAAAGATTAGTTTCCAAGCAAATACGTCCATTATAAATCAGTACTTATTGTTTCTAAGATGATGTTACCTGCCATTGGTTACTGTAACTGCAAGCCCGCCAGCGGCCTGAAGACTGGCAGTTTGGTTCGAGGTTCGAATGCCGCGAACGGGCTGGCTTCATGGCCGATTTCATGGTTGTAACGTGCATATGAACCAATTTCCCTTAGAAAGTCCTCCACGAAGGCATCCTTAGGCAAATACCCCTCGAGGCTTTGCAGCAATTAACCAAACTAACTGTAATTGCAGTCCCGTTGCGGAAACATACGAGTATATACTGGAACGCTTTGATAAGATAAACAGGCAGTGTGTTTCACCTTATTCATACACATCTTATCCAGGTATTTTAGTTTTAAGACTAGCTATTATGACAATCAATGTAAAGGGTTATTGCTTTAGAAGGTACCATACTGAACATTTGTCACTCACAGAAAAACGATCCAGATGTTAATTCTGTCAGGAATATATGATAAATTTTGCAGTGTTTCTAAAAATGTCATGTTTGATGTGTTTTCTAGCTCATGTCTATCATATATTTGGCTAACTTCTTTGAAAGTCTTTATTAAATAATAAAATGGATAGTAACACTGGAATCTCAGATTATTTTGCTGAACTTAATGACTTACGAGTGGTACTAAAAATATAATAAAAACGTGTTTTCTTTTTGCTCATATAATGTGTTTTACATTTCTTATTCAATTTATGTTAGTTTTACTCGCTGTTTCTTTTTTCCATACAACTATGGTAAAGTGATTATAATTTCTTGCTTATCTCATTGTCTTTCTAGAGATTATACTTGACCTAAATTTTTGTGAAGAGTTGAAGTGTGAAATAAATAATTATTTCTGAAACCGAATTATCCTTTTCCTTTATTCTCGTGGCAAAATGGGTTTGCACATCTGGAAGTTCTGAATCCGATTCCAGGTTAGAGCGACATTTGTTATCAGGTAAGCAGGTGCTCATCTAACTTCCTGCATTACAGTTATCATTGGAATTAAAAATGGTGAAACTTAAATTGTCGTCGAATGAATTTGATCTGAAGGATTTTTCTCCAGTCTTTTTAATGGGAAATGAATGTAAGGAAACAAAGGATTTCTCATAATGTGCTGTTTGAACGCAATGGGTGGCACAACGGTCTGATAATGCAGATGTCCCTTTTGGTGTCCAAATATAATCAGTAAAACCATTTTTTCTTTCCTACAGTATTACGAAAACCGGTAGGTCATCTTTAAAATATTTTAGCGCTAATCAGTATATAGTTATAGGTTAGAGTTTAAGTTATAGATAAGAGTATGGGGGACACAAGCGATGTACCATAAGTCAACTAGTAATGCCTTTCCATATTAAATAGCTCTTGCAAGTTTTGTAAGAATTAAAGAAAGGTTGAGGAAATGAACAACTAAAGCTTTGCAAAAGATTTAGAGTTTACATGTTATAGTACATCGTACAATCCCACTGTAGACCCGGCATCCAGTTATAATATATTTCTCCCGCCTTCTTAACATGCCTTCGTAGTGTAGTGGTCAGCACACTGGGCGCATATTCCAGAGGTCCGTGGTTCAATTCTCTGCGATTAGATAAGGATGGACGTGGCACTAAACCAATTAACCATAATGGTAAAGGGGTGGTGCCCACGTCCTCCGTCACTAAACTAAACTAACTAATATCTCCCGCTTCCAAAAAATCTAATGTCTCTACAGTGGCGCCCGAACTAAAAAGGTGGTAGATGATGATTCTCCACACCCAATATTTGGTGATCGGGTTCCCTAAAATCCCCAGTCGCCCTTTAAAAGGGGGTGTATGTAAGGTATTTCTCCCGCCTTCTTAGCATGCCTTCGTAGTGTAGTGGTCAGCACACTGAGCGCGTATTTACAGAGGTCCGTGGCTCGATTCTCGGCGAGGGCGTTACTCATTTTTCATGACTCCTGCTTTAAAAATAACCTAATGACTCCACACAATATTTATTAAAAATAATGATTTGCGACATACAGAGCTTGCAAATCAGTTTCAGTACAATTTGAAATTTACAAATTAAATTGAACATCTCTTTTAGTGCAACAAAAATAACAAATAAACACAATAAATAACAGAAAATATAATAAGTACTGAGAAACAAAGTTATAATGAACTGCAATAATAATGCTAAAGAGGTATCCAAGAAGTATTAAAAATATAAAAGGTTATTACAGTTTAATAAGTTGAAAGGCGGAATCCTTTTGAACATATTAACAGGATGTAAAAGTTCACTAAATTTATGCAGCATGGGAACTTGTACTTGACAAAGGTCTGGGCCGTAGGAAGAGAGTCGTTGCATAATTTTTTGAAACTTCGGAGGCTTATGTTTATCTTTAATTAGAAACCTTTGGAATGCCAGGAGATCAGTTTGTGGGGCTTTTATATGATTATTCTCAGTTAAGGGGCATGAGAAAGTATAAAGGTCAGGAGCTTCCTGTCCCTCACATATGCAGATGTCGGATATAGCTTATTTTTAAAGTAGAACTTTGGTGGTTATGATACTCCACTTGATACCTGTTATAGCGATTTCTAGCACCGAGAATCCTGTGATAGTGCATGTACTCAAGTTGAATATTAAATTAACAAGTTGTGGATATGAAATTCTGTACTGCTGGGTCCCCGGACATAAGGGAATAAACGGCACTGAGCTGGCGGACATCGCAGCGAAATCTGCTTTTGAAATGTCCGGCCGCCTCATCACTTTTAGAAATAGAGATATATGTTGTGTCATCAAGGAGAAGATGAGAAAAAAAATGGCAGAAACTTTCGGACATTCAAATTGATAACAAGTTGAGAAGGGTGACACCTAAAATAGAGCATTGGGATACTACTGGGAATCTTACGGAAGTTCTTTTGACTCGCCTTAGAATTGGTCACACTAGAGTGACACATAACTAACTTCCTTCTGAAAACTGAGACGAGCCTGTTTGTGCAAATTGTGATGTTTGTTTCTCAGTGTATCACATTTTAATTGAATGTCCATATTTTAATAGTCTTCGTGAGAAGTATTTTAATAGCTGCGACCTGCCTCTCGACCGTTTAATCGGAAGAGAAGTCAATACCAATTTGTTTCATTACCTGAAAGAAACAGGTTTCTATTATTTAATTTGATTTTTGTCTTGAGATTTTATGTTAGAATTTTAATGAATCAGATGGTTTAGGATTTTATATCTACACTGCATATCTCATTATCTGAATCATAATCAGCATTTTCATCCCACCCTTTCAACATCTTTTTACTTGCCTCGATTTTAAAAGTATGCTGTTATCTTCAGACATTTTTTTATTTAAAATTCGTACTTTAGTTTGTATGTTGAAGAACGAATCTTGAGTTTGGCGCATACGGATTTTAGAGCTTTGCGCCATAAATCTACTACCACCACCAGCATGCAACATGTACTGTTAAGAAAAGGCAATGGGACATTTGAAAATTTCACATTTATGCGTTTAGTTTTAAACTATTTGTCTAGATTATTATTTCATTAGACATTAATTTTAAATGGGGTATATAATTGTGTCTATGTTATTAGAAAAACATGATATATAGGCGTTACACGAAAAATTATAAATTTTAAAGTTAAAAATCATGGTACTTTATGTGAAAAATGCTAAGAGGTTACAACAGAAAAACTTTTTTTATGCGCTCCTTTCTGTAAAGATGGATATCTCACAATATGAGATACAAAATGGGTTTAAATGTATCTCGCAGTAGAAGAACTCAAGAGGAAATCAAATCATCGTCACATACATCATCAAAGGTAAACTGTAACAACATACGTACTTTAAGAAGTTATCTTATTATTTTCTCCTTCAAAAATGCTACAAATATTTAAAAATCATTCCGTAAATTTTAAATTTATATTTTTGATTCTGGGATAGGTGTGAAATACCGAAGCATTCAAAATTCAATAGGGTTTAAAGAGTGAAAATTTTCTTTCTGTGCATTTAGGATATCATTAAGTAATCATAAAGTAGCCTGGGTATCATTAAATAATGATTAAAAATAAAATACCGATAATTATAACTTTCTCTTGTTAAGTTTCTAAATATTATACTTTCATTTGTGTTTAATGCACCTGCAACTTAATACAGTTTGTCGCATTATCCATTTAAATTTTATTTTGAAATTTACATTAAGTGGATATTATTCAGTCCCGTACATGAGGGTAGGCGAAAAAAAACTTTCCATAAAAGATTTTACTTACAGCCTGTTGCGTCACAGACGGCCGAAAGAAAACAGAATGTCACGTGAGCTGTCCGTTGGCATGGCGACCTCACTAACAGCCCCAAGGGAAAACGCCTCGTGCGGGATGCTATCCTCTCGATGGTTTACACGACACTGAGCTCAACGTGAGGGTATTTTGGATGATGGAAATTTGGGGTTGCCAACAGCTAGAATTCATGCTCGCCAAAATGTCGTTAAACCGCCAAGATGGACATTTCAGGGTGTATCGAATTTTCCGTTAAGGGCCGTGATGCCGATAAAAAGCAGTAGCTGGGGTAAGTTCATATTCTCTTTTGATACTTATACAGGAATATTGATTTCAAATAAGTAAATTAATTATATTTATTACGCTTGCTTCTTTTTAGATATAACAATAATAATTATTTGATTAAAAAAAACCTTTTTTGAAGATTGCATTGGGATCAAAACATCCTACTTACGTGTAAAGAAATACAATTAAATTTCCTTCTAAGAATAAGTACGATACCTTATTTCTGAAAATGTAAAATAAAGGACATAGTTTGAATACATTTTCTTAAACAATACTACATTTTATGAAAAGATGATATAAATAAGGTCACTAGTATAAATTCACTTTAATTAATTTAATTTGATTCAATTTATTTAACTCGATTCAATTTGATATTAGTTCGTATTTATGTTACTATTATTTGCACTTAAATTTGTTTTTCATTGATAATATCATAGCACTTAAAAAATAAGTAATTTCAGTTAATATGTTGTTTTCAATCAAATGATTATTCCCGTCTACAAAAGGTTTCTCATGCAAATTTTATTTAATTTGCATATCCCATGTCGATTAAGGGAATCCTTCCTAAAACTGTTCAGGTACCTTTTGAAACCATTTTTTTCTCCTGTGGAGTTGGTAAATTTGGAAAACTGCTTTCAATCCTGTTCATTATCATTAGTTTAATTAAGATCTTACAAATACTACTGAGATTTTTCAAAGCCGTGGACGCTGTGAGACTATTTTTAAACGGAAAAAGTTCTAGGAGATAAAATTCTTTCATTCGATACAAATTAAAAACATTAGCTTTACATAAAAATTCTTCAATAAATCGCAGCTTACATAAATGAATTATTTGATACAAAAGCACTGTTATTTGATCTGATGCTAAACATAAACATGATAGCCATCCAAAACACGTAGCCATCTTCTCGAAAATCACCTTAATAAAACTAAATTCTCTCATAGATACCCTAATGAATGTCTTTTAGAAATCTGTAAAGTAATTAGAATCGCATTATAGGAATTTTTAAGCATTTTTGGGAAGAACAATGAATAGTTTCCAACTCTGCATAGCTAATTTTTCTGTTCTTTCGAACTTATTCACTATTCTAATTTCCAACAGCAGCATGCGTAGATATATGAAATTTACGATAATTAAATATAGTAATTATTATTGTAATTATTTTTGCATATCTTTATTATTATGTTACTATTATTAATTACCCTCCCAGCAGTTCTGTTAATTTTACAAAGGTTATATCCTAGCATTTTCAAATATTTTTAGCATGAAGGGGCGTTAAAGCCAAAGGGCTATTTAGTTTCAAAATGATATTTTGTATCGTTTCACTTTCTGAGTTGTTTTACTTTTCAAACTGTTGCCACCAAATATTATCACCATGTATTATATTTAAAGAAACTATATAAGAATCTGTGTGAAAATTTCTCTCATTGTGAAAAAATAACGGTACCTAGAGCAATCAAATTTTGAATAACGTAGTCCTCCAATCGAACATGGGCACTTGGAAGACCTCATTTTGAATTTCGAACTTGTTTTGTTATCTATTCCAAATTTTGTAAATCTTTAACAAATTTTTAATTAATTAACGATTTCAAAGCGAGCAATGGCAATACTGTACGGAAAAAAAAATTATCTCCAGCGCGCGAGACTGTGTATCAGAAATTCTAAAGGTATGCTGTTTTGATGGTTTTAAATATTTTGTGATAATGCTGTTGAATTGAATTTTATGCGGCTTAAGTGCGAAGAACATAGTATTTAATAACTAAAAGTATCACTCATTAAAAAAGCGCCCTTTTGGGTGTAATATAAAATCTGAAAGCTTTCAGATTTTCTTTTTTTATTTAACTTTGTTATCAGAACATTTAAAAAATAACATACTCTAAGGGAGATTTTAATTTGAAGCTAAACATAAAATATTAATAATTGAGATATGCCTTATTATTTAAAAAGCGAAAACTGAAAACACTGCTTCAAGAGATAATAGTAATTTATTCAAGTAGAATGAGTAATGTCCAAGTAAAAAATATATATATTTTTCCTAAAGTACATATTTTGTAAAATTAACCACAGCAAAAATCATTTGGATTTATTTCCTTGTGTTTTCCTTATGGAATCTTACTGCAGTATTTCTGCTATATAAAATGAAACGAACTTCAGATATTATCAAATTTTTGCCTGCAGTGCTGAATGATTCATTGTTATCACTCAAGACAAAAAGGTATCCCTTGTTTCGTAATAATCCTTATACTTTTAAGTCTCTTTTAATGTTTAAATAACCCTGATAAACACACTTTAGTGTGATAATGTTTAGAACATAAGCGCTGTATATGGAAGCTAAATCACTGGTTTGGTGATCTCCATTTAATGGGTTCGCATAGATTAAACTCTCATAATTTTGATCCCTTTATTTTACCTGCAGATTAAATGGTATTAAAGGGATTTTTCAATATGTGCTTGTTTTCTCTAAGCCTTTTACGGAGTGTTTAATTCTCATTTTAAGAAACTTTAGACAGCTATTGACTACAACAGTTCAAAAGAAATCTCTACATACAATAAAAGAAAGAGTCTGTCTGTATGTGTTTCATTCGTGCCGCGCGTAAGCTTATAGACCCAGGTCTACGAAATTTGGTACATAGGTGCATCTCGAAGCGATTTTTTTTCAAAATTTGAATCAGATTTTTTTTATCCATTTTGATGAAATCGCACCATTTTGAATAGTTTCATTCTTTTAGAAATGTAATATTGGTAACAGGTTTTCATTCAATGCTTTGTATAGTGGACTGCTGACTGTTGAAAATATGAGATAAAATATTATAAATTGCACACTCAACACGGACTTCGCAATCTTCTTACTCTGACGCGCACGTGTCTCGCGAAGCACAACAGAAAGAACTCCCTTTTTCTCTCTCTCTCTCTCTCTATTTATTAGCTAATGGCAAAGAGGTTTGTATATTTTGAATTATGTCATTCAAAAAGCACAATTTTGATTGGTTATTGCTTTCTGATGATAGTTTCATTCTTTTAGAAACATGGTTTGGGCAACAGTGTTTCCTTCATTGCTTTGGATACTGGGCTGCTGACTGTTTTCTCTTGAAAATACAAGATTAATTGCTTATTCAATTGTACTTATTTTATATTATGTTTTAATTATATAAAACGCTTTGCACTGTTTTTTTAGGAAGCAAAGTTCTTAACTTCCTTTATACTATTTGAATTCTTAAGATTTTGCAACGGGAAGTTGGTTAATTTATTTATTAGGATAATTAATGTTTGTATTAAGGGATCTTGATTATGTCATTGTAATGTTTTTTGTATATTATACAGTTTTATTTAAATTTCCGGGGTTTTTTATGATAAAATTGTTCTGCAGAGTAAAATTCTGTGCAGTTTTTAAATTTAATGTTTAGTATTCCCTTTACGCATTTTTTTTTTTTTTTTTTTTTTTTTTTTTTTGTACATTTAAAAGCCAGACGAAGGTTGGCCCTGTAGCGGCGAGTGAATAATATTTGTTGCATAACAGAGAAAAGGAAAGCCATTAATTACAAAAGTGTATATTATCTTTAAAAAGACATAAATATAATAATTTTCAAATTTCATTTGATTTTGAATTAAGTATTTACATAGAAATAAGAACTAATTTTAGTCGTGTGTTTCTACAGTTATTAAATCTTTACTTAACTAGTATTTATACTTAGAGTGCTGATCTTACGTTTTTCATCTTACTTTCTTTTCTTATTAAATTTCACATACAGTCCATCATATGTAAACAGCTATAACGTTCTTTTATTATGATTACTGTTATAATTAAATGTCTATTTGACGTACTTAACACTGCTCCGTGACACTGCTAATGCTTATTCTCTTTTTCTTTCTTCACTAAGCTCTCTGGGAACCATCCTAGTGTCTAAACTCCAGCTATACAAAACTTCGGTACCTTGAACCGTACACAACATCTTACTTAACAAATTAAAAAGTTGCTCTTGTTGTTGTTTTGACTTATCTCACTTGTCTGACAATAACATCAGAACTAGTCCATGAAATTTATGATTTCAAGGAGTTCACGACTCCGCCTGTCTTTGGCAAGAGCCTTGAGCATCATACAGGTGACAGTACGACTTTGCTCAGTTCTGCCCCCAATTTTGAAGGAGAGCACCCCGGCAAGGGGTGAGTATTCCTTGCCGGGGTCCCTACCACCCTTCTATCCCTACCACCAATTCTGGAGAGGGCTTTCCGCATATTTAGAGTGCTCCCCATGCCGCGCAGGAATTACACATTTACAAAGATCCGAGTCGTCTCCAGAATTCGAACCTAGGCCCTTCCATACGACATACATAGTCACTAACCACTACCCCGGTTGGGTGGCACAAATAAAAAGGCTTTATTTTAACCTAGCCTGTAAAAATCAAGCTTGGATAAAAATTACTGCATGTAATTATTAAAATATTTAAAAAAAGAAACGAAAAACTGATTAAAATATACCTTTCTTACAAAGCATGAAAAGTTCTGGATCCTAGTCGTCTTACCAAGCCTGGAACATGGAACACGACACGTAATTGCATCAGAATGAAAAGTGCAATCTTATTAGAGACACAATGAAGTAAGTACACAGTAATGATTGTTTTTGGAACAATAATTATGCTCTTATCAGTACAACTGCATCAGTAAAATTCAATTACATTCTGTTACTTGCAAAAGCAAGTAACACAATAATAATAATTTTGCATAATAATGTTATAGAAGACCAATATACAAAATTTTGCTAATAGTTTGAATATATGTTATGAAATTAATATGTAAGTAATTAATTGCTAATAAATATTAATTAATTGATTACAAAATTA